ATACATAAGAGCACACATCAATGACTCTTATACATTTTGACAGCTTAAACTATGAATTTTGGTTTGATATCTAACAACAGCACCCAAATAGTCATTTGAATACATCTAATAAAGACATTCAAAGTGAACGACAATCAAATCAACGTGTGAGACAAACTGAGTCAAAACAAAAATCATGTTTGATATAAGCCTATAGAAATTAACCTCAAACTCAAATTCAAACTCCAACTTAAAAATAAAAGTTATAGTCCAATTGAGATTCCAAGAGAAGATAACAAAATGTGACAAATAGAATCAAACTTAAAAATAAGAAATAAAAAGTAGGAAATAAAATCATAAACAAAAGTGAGACTCACATCTTAGAACTTTGGAGATGGGTTTAGATTTAGGGAACTCCATTATCCATGTCCCAACAGATCTCAGGCTCTCTTTGTCAACAGTTTTCTCTCTTCCTTTCTCTTCATACTCATTATCATTCCATAGATCTGCAAGCATGTGACAAACTAACAACATCATCCTCAATGAACTTCACAAAATCAAACAAACAACAACAAACCAGAACTGATAAAAATAGAGAAGTCAAAACCTAAAATAAAGTATAACAAAATAAAATAAAGCTTCAATATGATAAATGAACAGTAAGACACAAAATAAACAACAACAAATCAGCCATGAGTGAGAAGTAAAGTTGAAAAATGATGTTAAATATAAACAAAAACATCAACAAACTACCGTGAATTAGAAGTAGATAAAAAAATTCAAAGAGATAAGAAAAAAAAATAAAATTGAAAAACCAGTTACACAAATTAGTGATAGGGAGAAACAGTTGTCAACGAAGGAGTTTATCTGAAAAAATTCCAACCAGAGAAAGGGGGCGACGGTGGTAGATTTAGGGTTTGTGGAGGAAAACGTTGAAGAGGGAGAGTGAGAGAAAACTAGAGAGAGATGGTTTGGTTTTGGCGGGAATGGGGAAAAAACTTTTATTTGAGTTAGCCAAAGATTGATCTACACTTGGCATGTAATTAGAGGTTTGGTTGTGATTTATTTGTAACATTTGTTAATTACCTATATATCCAAATGCTAGTGTAAATTGAAATAAGTGGAAGGGTAAATTGGTATAATCATGCAATTTTATTTTGAAGGATTGATAGTAGATAAAGCAGCACATGGCACAAATACAACACAGAAAGGGAAGAAGAATAAGAAGAAACACTTAAAACAATGTTTAATTTATGGATGATGATTTAAGGTTCCTATCTTGGTTCTTATAAAAAATATTTTTTTAAGAAGAAATTTTATAAAAATATCTAATTTGGTTAATGAATACAAAAACTCAATTATGCAATTCCCCTTTCCGATAATAAAATGGTTCATGATTTCAATGTGTTTAGTCTAAGAGTAAATTATCAAATTTTAAGTGAGATTTACGGTGTTAGTGATGTCACATTTTATCAAAGTGGTTTCGAGATTAAATCCCTAATAACTTAATTGTTGTTTCATCTAAATAATTTGCGCATAACTATCTGCAACGATGTAATTTGCTTCAGTTGTAGATAACACGACATTTTTCTTTTTCTTGCTATCGTAGGAGACAAGTGAGTTCTGAAGTAAGTGACACGTATCACTGATACTTTTTTTGGTCCAATTTACAATCAACGAAATCAGAATCAGAGTGTCTAACTATATAATATGTCTCTTTGAGTACCATAAACCCATATGTGGTGTTTTTGTGAGATATCCCATAATGCGTTTGTCCGCAAAGATGTGTGTTATTTTGGGGTTTACTTGAAAACATGCAAACAGAGACAACAAACATATTTTTAGGACGAGATGGAAAAAGACAAAGAAAGGAACCAATCATACCTTGACATTTGCTTTCTTCAACTGTTTTTCTCCTTCGCCCTTATCTAAATTACAAGAACTACTCATTGGATTTGAGATTGATTTTGCTTTTTCAATGTCGATTCTTTATAATATCTCTTTACCATATTTATCTAGATTGATCAATGTGTCTTCCTTTGATTAATGAATTTTTAACATAAGAAAGTATCAAAACTCCTCCATCATAAACATATCAAATTATATGGACTTATTTCAAATCTAAAGATCCTTTTTTAGCTTTAAGACATGATTAGGATAAGAGAAGTTTAAAAAATCAAAAAGTTGATTAACATACACTTTCTATTGAAAGTAATTGTTCAAGAGTCTTGATTGTATCATTTTCTCACGAGTCTTGATTTATTTCTTAAAAAGCATTCTCATTTTTTTCAAGCTTGTTGTGAAAGACCCATTTGATTTTAATCACTTTACTAGAAGAAGGTTTGTGAACAAGCCCTCAAACTTTGTTTCTCTCAAATGGATTTAATTCAACTTGCATAGCAAGAGATCAATGTTCGTCAATGAGAGTTTCATTGATGTTCTTTAACTTAATATGGGAAACAAAAATAATAAAATTACATACCTAGTTAAAGTAGTGTGGAGTTTTGACCGTCTTAGAAATATATCAATTTACGTTCTAGATTGAATTATCTTTTGTGGTCGTCTATTCTTTGGGCAGATCTTGATGGTCATTTTTTGTTTCTTAGTTTTGATTGATTTCAATTTGATTTTTTTAGTTCTTGGTCTTTTTTTATTAAGATATTTTTCTTAATTAGGGTGTTTCTAGAATCATGTTCTCTAGGATACTTGCATACTTAAGTATTTCTACTTCTCCATCTACTATAAGTTGAATATCCTAAGAATAAATCTTCATTGAGTATAACCTTGAATTCTCTAAGAGTGTCCTTCTCATTATTAAAGACATAACATTTATATATCAAGACACGGTGGTAAAAAAAATGTTGGGTTTCTTTTTTTTTATAACTCATAAGATATATGTTTTAAAATTGGTTGTAGCAAGACACAATTCATTACGTAGTAAGTAATACTTATTGCATTAGCCCAAAAGTACTTAAGAAAGTTAGTCTCATTGAAAATCATCATCACTAGAAATATATTTATTTTTCTACTCCAATACCCCCATTTTGTTTGGGTGTTCGCGGAGCATAAAAAATATTCTCAATTACATTCTAGTTACAGTAGTTCTCGAATTCCACATTTAAAAATTCACCTCCCTAACGACTTTTGTATATACAATGCTTAATAATTTTTTGTTGTGGACATCTTTCACTAATTTCCAAAAGGCAATTAATGCACCTCTTTTATGATATAACAAGAATAGTCATCCACAACTACAAGGACATAGTGACATCCGCCAAAACTCATGGTTTTGGTTGGATCAAAAAAATTCATATGTAGTAGTTGTAAATGCCTATTTGTAGAAACAATATTTTTGTATTTAAATGAGAGATTTATTTGTTTACCCCTTTAACACGCATCAGATAATCAATTCTTTTTAAAACACAAGTTTGACAAATTGATTATTAAATTCTTACGGACCAACTTGTTAATATAATCTATTTAAATATGAATTATTCTCCTGTATCATAGTCATCCTTCATCCTCGTTACTCAAAATACATATACTATTTGAATGAATTTTATTAAAATTTATGGTGTAAATATTTTAACTTCTTGAATTTGTAAAAAATCTTGATTTGGTTTAGATTTATAATTCTGCATCCAGACGAATTAAAAGTCACAAATTACCTTTGACCCACAATTGGATAATATTTAACAAATTATGTTTTAGATTAACAACTAAAAGAACCTTCTCCATCATTGAATTGAGAAACTTTATATTATTAAAAACAATAAATATTTCTTTGTTGTTATCACCATAAGACACAAAACCTTTTTTAAGAGAAAAGGGAGAGAATATAGATTCGTTTACAGTCATATGCTTTAAAAAAACGCTATCAAGGTATCATTAAGTATCTTAGTAGCATTGAGAACAAGTATAGACTTTAAATACCCAAATAATTTTGGACCCTATGATGTTAATGTATCATACATTCACTTTTATATTTTCAAATGAGATTATCTATAATCTATAATCTATAACATATATAAAGACAATATTTATTGATGTAGCTTTTTTCTATACCAAATTTACCCTTATTTTAAAATATATAAGTTACACAATAACTTCTATTGAAATACTATTATTATCTTTCATATAACTTCCTACTAATAATTTTCCACGTAACTTCTATGTAAAATTAATATTAAATAAAAATATATCATTTATATTTATATATGTACAATAAAAAAGCGGACAGACGGGCACGCGAGTGCCCGGACGCTAGTAATTGTAAAGGTAACATGAAGCATACATATTTTTTAGTTTTTTTTCATGATATTCTTTGTAAATTTGTAAAGACAAATATACATTTTTACTATCATGATTTTTCTTAACAAAACAAAGTTCTTTAACAAAACAAAATAGGGTAATATAGTCTTTTTCTTTTTTACATTAATTATATTTTACAATATCTAATTTTCAAGACATATACTATTAAAAAATTTAACTATTTTTAAATTCATAAACTAGATCAACTTTATTATATGATTCGAATAACAAAACATAAAAATAAGTCATGCATGCCTTATAAAAAATAAGTCTCATCGCCTTCTTATAAAAGCCCTTATTTTTTTAATTTTCTTATTTATAAAAAAAATCACTTTTTAATGCAAGAGTTTTTTTTCAAAATTTTGTTTGATCCTGAGTTATACACTTAAGGAGATGGAAAACTTCTAAAAAGTTGGGCCAAACAAGCTCTAAGAGGTCCAACAAATTTCATTTTGAATTAAAGTATAAACAAAAATATGTTAAAAATTTTGAATTAAAGTATAAACAAAAATATGTTAAAAATTAATATATTTATATAATGTTTTTTATTTATAATTTAACATTTCACAAAAAAAATCTCTTAAAAATTAAAAAAAAAGTCTCACAAGTTAGCCAACATAATATGTGACCCAAGTGATGGATATCCCTCCTATGTTGGATCTCAACCACTTTGAAGAATTACAAAAGAAGTATTTTGAAATTCAATTTGCTCATTGATGGAATCCAATTACAAATCTTTGAATACCAGCAAAATCAGCAATTATTTCCAAATTGCATAAGCTTGCACTTCTATTACTTTTCATGTAATCAACAAGTTCTCTGCACTGCTTCTCACCATTTGTCTGTAATTTGAGAAACATGGAATCACTCACATGGGCATGTAGCTTCAAAACCATCAATCAGAAACACAGAAATGATACAACTTTCTGAAAAAACAAGGGATGTACCTCAAAGGCAAAGAATCCGCCGGGTTTCAACATTAAATCGGCCCCATCACATAGATGAAGAAGAGCATCCGTGCCGTCAATGCCTCCATCTAATGCAACTCTAGGTTCATGTTTACCGACTTCAGCCTGTAGACCAGAGATATCTTTACTAGGTATATAAGGCGGGTTGCTTACAAGGCCTGCGAGTTTTCCTTCCATATCCTTCAATGGTTCCAACCAAGATCCTTCCCTTAGTTCAATTTTGTCCTGCAAATGATGACTAACATAAGTGGAACCAAAAGCAGTAACATGGTGAGAAACAATGAAAGGCAATTATATGAAAATCAACACTAATTTTTCGTCCCGAAAATGTAATGCACTATGATGATTGATGTGTTACAATTTCAATGACAAAATTGCTAAGTGGCAAAGCAATGAATTTGATTGATTTGTCACAATTTCTAACCTGCAAGCAATACCTCTTCACATTGTAAGCCGCAACGGCAACGGCGACCGGACTTAAATCCGATGCAATAACCTTTCCACCATCTCCCAAAATCCTACCAATCCCAATAGCAAGAGCGCCGCTTCCGGTCCCTAAATCAGCCCAAACCCCTCTTCTCAAATCCCCGTCCTTCGACACAACATCAGAAACCAAATCAACAATAAGTTCTGTCTCAGGTCTAGGAATCAAAACCCCTTCTTGAACACTCAAAACCAGGTCCTTCCAATGCTCACATCCCACTACATACTGAAAAGGTTTCCTCTCTTCAATCCTTTGCTTCCACAAACTATATAATTCCTCTATATCTGCCCTCGTTTTCACCCTCTCATTGCCATCACCCATTTCGGAAAAAAGCGAGTGTTTATCCTCAACAACATCCTCAATAAACCACTTGAGCTCCCTGCACAAAATCTCTGAGTCAGGTCCATTATCTGATTGCACAAAACTTGACCCAATTGAAGAAGCAACCGTTTTTGCCCAATTATGCCATTTTTTGAGGTCACTCAATTTTGTCGAGTAAATGGGTGGCCTCAGAAAGATTGGAACTTGGGGTTTTACAGAAACGGGTGCAGATGATGATAACAGTGATGCAGAACAAAAGGGTCTACGCAGATTGATAAAAGAAGAGTTCAGTAGTGTTGAGAATGTGTGATTGGTAAAGGTTAGTTTCATTTCAACGGAACGAAAAGGTGGAAACTTTTGGCCTTTGGGTAATCGCTTAACATCAATACATGAAATATTATGAAGTCAAAAAACACTTGAACAAGTGCATAATCATGGCGATAAATATACTGAATTAGGGTTAGTAAAAAATGAAACTTTTTAGGTTATCAATTATTGGGAAGTTATAGATATGTAGAGTGGAGAGTATCCGTTTGTTTGGGAGTATAGAAGTTTGCAGATTATTTGTAAACTAAATTCCTTTTTTTTGTGTGTGTGGATTTTATATGCACTAGTGTCTAGATGAGTATTGCGTCTGTGTGTCCGCTTTTTTAATGCACGCATATAAAAATTTAAAAAATATTTTTTATTTAATTTTAATTTTAAATGAAAATTAAATAGAAAGTTAATAGTAAAAAATCAGATAGAAAGTTAGGTAAGAAGTTATTAAATAAATTATATATTAAAGTAAGGGTAAAATTGGAAGAGAAATAGACTACACCAAAACATCATATTTTCCCTTTATATATGTTAAGTCCATGTTGACTCTTTATTTAAAATAAGGGTAAAATTGGAAGAGAAATAGGTTACACAAAAACATCATGTTTTCCCTCTATGAGAATAAATAAAGATTGGTGACGACTTTGTTAAGTCCATCCCGCGAGCGTACGATTGCGGTTCGCAAGGTTGTTCTCATTTTTCCAGATACGATAGATGGCGACTCTACACTCCCATCTCTAAGTGAGTTAAGCCTAGTTAGGTTTTGTGTGTGTTTAGTTTTTTGTTTGGCTTTTCTTTTATCTTATGTTTTTATTGTTATATTGTTATATTATGAATGGATCTTTGATACTTGAATTTTGGATTGCAAAACCTTGAGAGAAAGACTCTATACCCGAGCTTTGAGTAAAAACATAAGATAGGGCGGTGGTTGAGTAGTGTGGGTCCATGATATTTAGATCTCGTTAGGGTCGACATGAGAACCTCAATTAGAGTATATCCTTTGAGAATATTGGCGTCTGACATGTAGTTATCGTTGGCCTCGATGCTTGCATAAGAATCGATGACTCTAAGAACCTTTGTAGAACCTTAAACCCTTGGCCTACTAGGAAGGATGGTTGCATAGTAAGAGCCCCTCGAGATGTAAATTTCGAAGGTTCGGTACGAAGATCTTGCTTAGAGTAGATTCTTTCCATGGAGTTGATGCCCAACATCTAGTTGTCGTTGACAACAAATATTCGTTTGAATTTATGACTCTAGGAACCTTGTCTATAACCAAAGTCGACGGTCACATAGTGAGGGCCTCCCAAGAGGTAAATCTCGAGGGGTCGGTACAAAGACCTCATCCAGAATAGATTTATTTGATGGAGAGGACGACTGCCATGTAGGTGTCGTGGGCGGAAAACATTCGTGTGAACCTATGATTTTGTGATCCCTTTTGTAACCCTAGATCATACCCAGTGAGAAACTGTTCTGGTATAATAATCAGATATATTTGTTACCTTGGACCTTTGAACCCATGTGCTAAAAAGAAAAAAACAAAAAAATACATGGCATCTCATTGCATCCATTCCATTGCATATGCATCTCATCAGCGTGCGTGCATATCATTCCCACAAAGTGAAAACTCATTCCGTCTTTGTTCATGTCACTCGCTGATTTCTCGGTACCCATATTAAACATGTGGTAGCAGTTGAAAGATGAGAAAGCTTTTTGAAGCAAGGTCGTACATTGATAAGAGGAATATATGCACCTTGAAAGGAGAAATAGACCAGAAGTTGGAACCTGTGGTGGCTATGTCAAATTTTCAACATGCTGTTATAGAGAATGATGGTCACCCGCCAGGCTTTACTGTGGTGACTAACCCAATGTACGATCATCCCCATGAATGTCTTCCTCAACAAGTGGATGTTCCTACTTAACCTCAACATGGGCATATCCATTTATCTGATGAAGTCCCCATGGTTCAAAAGAGCCAAACTGTTCATATAGATGAAGATGATCCTCAATTTACAAGGAACGTGTCAGATTCTCAAGGTGCCCACCTAATAAAAAAATAGAGTGTTCTCAAGTGGCTAAAGTCGTAAAAATAAGTCGTGATATGGAGAAACGATTAAGGGCTATAGAAGGCTTTAACACAATGAAACTTTATGACATGTGTTTGGTGTCAGGCCTTGTTATACCTCCAAAATTTAGAGTACCAAACTTTAAGAAGTACAAAGGGGATAGTTGTCCAAGAAACCATTTAGTAATGTTCTATCAAAAATGGCTTCCCATACGCATGATAATAAGTTGATGATTCATTATTTTCAAGACAGTTTGAGTGGACTATCATTGGGTTGAAACATGAAGTTGGAAAAGAGCCATGTTCAATCATGGAAAGACTTAGCCAACGCCTTTTTGAAGTAGTACAACTGCAACTTGGATATGGCTCCGCATAGAAGACATTTGTTGAGTATGTCTCAGAAAGACAATGAATCCTTTAGAGGATATGCACAACGGTGGAGAGAATTGGCAGCCCAAGTGCAACCACCACTCCTAGACAGAGAATTGGCAGCCCAAGGGCTACACCAAAAATAAGTTTTGCCTTTATATATACTACGCGTGCCCGTCTGTCCGCTTTTTTAATACACACATGAAAATATTTATGATATTTTTTATTTAATATTAATTTTAAAAGGAAGTTATATAGGAAGTTAATAATAGAAAGTTATGTAAGAGATAATAGCAGTAGTTTTAATAGAAGATATTGTGTAAGATACATATAAATAAGAGTAAAATTAGTAATAAAAAAAAGGCTATACCAAAAACAAGTTTTGCTTTTATATATAACTAGCGTTCAGACGGACACTTTCCGCTTTTTAAATATTCAGACGTTTAAAAATATAAATGTATTTTTTGTGTTTATTTTTTTTAATTTAAATTTTATATTAAAAATTGAATGAAATAGTTGTGCAAACTATTATATAATAGTTAATAAAAAAAGTTAGTAAAATAGAAGTTGAATTTTAAAATAAAAAACAAAAGAGTATAATTGAATATGATATATGTCGTATGTGGATTTTAATCTTACGCGTTGTTAGTGAATTTTTTGTGTTTTTTTTTACGATGGAATATGTCATATGTGGATTTTAATCTTCAGATTAGTTTTGCGTATTGTTTGTTGCTCTTGTAGAATCTTCTAACAAATTGATCTTATGAATCCATGGATGAGGAGCTGACACACTTGTACATCCTTTAGGACTATATGCTCATAGTACTTCACAAATATCCCATCAACATCTGTGCGGAGGACAGTTAAAAAAGCAACAACTAAGAGGTCTTTGGGTATACCCTGCAAATACCTGAATTATTTCACTACTTGCTCAGTTAGATGTGGGTGCATAAGTTGGGACTCATGAGTCATCCCCTAGCGTATAATGTTATCACATCCAAGGGTCATGTCACATAGTGCTCATCGTACATTGTAAAACATATATCTTATGGCACAATTCAGTCAAGATAATATAAACGAATTGGTCGTTGGAGTCCCCCTAAATAGGATAATTGAGCAGGCACATGGAAATTCCTCGGAGTAGTTATCAAGATATTCCCAGTTGAAAAGACGTAGAAAATGATGGTGGATCCATACTTGAAAATGATTTAGAAGAAATACCAATAAGAGTGTAACACAGGTGTTATGTAATTAATATTAGTAAGGATGCAAAAAAATATCACAAATAAACATTTGTTTGTCGATTCTTCCACTGACTGACTACCTTCGACTAACTCAGAGTAGAGGTAAATCAAATAAGTAGCTCCTAATTGTACTCATGAATCCTCTCAAAGACAATGACGTATCTAATGTAGACAACGTCGACATAGGTCACATTCTTGTTTATAAAATGCATGTGTTTACCAAAATCACGAAGTATGGCCTCAATGTACATGTTTTATTGTATACAACTCATGCACCATCACCCGTAGTATCCACAGTTACGGCCAGGTGGTCTTCATACAACTTCAAAGAATTATTTCCTTTCATTAGATGGTATGAACATTTAAATTGAAGATTATAAGAGTAGAAAAATGCAAAAAACAAACTTCGACGAGTTAAATTTCTACCAAATATTTCTATATCATTTCTCTCTCTCTCTCTCTCTCTCTCTCTCTCTCTCTTCTCTCTCTCTCTCTCTCTCTCTCTCTCTCTCTCTCTCTCTCTCTCTCTCTCTCTCTCTCTCTCTCTCTCTCTCTCTCTCTCTCTCTCTCTCTCTATATATATATATATATATATATATATATATATATATATATATATATATATATATATATATATATTTAACTTTATTAACAATTTAAATGAAATATAATTTTTTTTTAGGATTTATTACTAAGAACCTAATTTTAAAATAGAACATGCCTTCATATTTTTTCGGGCCGGTCTTGACCAAAATGAACCTCGAAATTAAAATACGAGATAAAAAAAAATATTGAGCCCTTTTTATTTATGTTATTCTCCCTAAAAAATCATCCTCGTTTCTTCTGCATTTGTTTGTTTAAATTTTCCCCTAAAGCTCTTTTTTTTTCTTCTATATTTGTTTGTTTCATGTATTTACCCCTATACTACTATTTTTATGTATTTTTTTTTGGTTAAATATTTTACGTAAAATTCACTTTCATTTTCTATGAATTCATTTATTTTAAGAGAAAAGTACTACAACAATTAAAGGGAAGAGGATTTTATGATAAATAACAAAAATTGAAAATACGAAAGAGGAGTATAATTAAAGGAGAAGAACTTAAACGAAACAATACAAAGAAAGATCAAAATTGTTTTATAAGAAAGAAAAAAAATGAAATACATAGAGAAATGGGATGAGAGTTTAATGGGTGACAACTCAAATGCAAAATATAGATAAAGAGATGGAGAATTTTCATGGAAAAAATTTGAAATATTAAAATAAGGTGAGAAAGTATAGTAATTTAATGTTGAAGTACTAAAACAAACAAAATTATTAGAAAAAAGAGTTTTATGAAAATCACAAAAACAGAATAATACAAAGAAAGAAAAAGAATATTGTCAAGAAGAATTTAAGAAAAATGTAGAATAAAAAAAGAGAAATTTTGTTGGAAAGACCTTAAGCGATGAAATAAAATAAATAAAAAAGAGAAAAATAATTTTGTCAAGAAGAATTTAAAAAAAATAATAAGAAATTTTGAGGGAGAGAATTTATGAGATGAAATACAAAAAATGATGAGAACATTTATACGAGGAACTTTAATAAAAAAAAGAAGAAAAAAAATTATTTTCATGGGAAAGATTTGAAATGAAAAATATACATAAAGGAATAAAAGGCCCCAGTCAAATTTATTATAGATTTCTGGTTGAAAAACATGTATTAAAAGAAGCAAATACGTCTACTTACAAAGACTAAAATTAACCATAACACTAAAATTTATAATTTTTCACATAATTATTCAACATACATTGTCTAATTTACAAAAATTACTAAATTAATAAACCAAAGAATAAGATTGAAATGGTCAATAAATTTCTTTTAATAAAATAGAATCAATAAAAAATCTTTGAATTTAGATTTTCAAATATACTTATTTTTTCCCTTAGTTAATCAAAAAAGAAAAAACTAATCCATTCAAAATCGATTAGTACTAAAAAGCAATAAAAAAAAGTCAGAAAAGAAAAGCGATTATTGGGGACCGTGCATTGGTTGCTATTTCACGCGCCATCTTCATTTCGGTGTTCCCCTTCCGTCCACACTCCTCACTGCGAGCGAGGACGCTGAAAAAATCTCCTCCTCCTAGGGTTTGTTAAAACTTCTCTTGATTTGAATTTTTCTTCCGTTTCACCATCAATGGGTGCCAATTCGAATCTAGCTGAATCCACTCACGATCTCAACGAGCAGATCTCTCAGCTCATGCAGTGCAAGCCACTTTCTGAACAACAGGTTTCGTTCAATTTCTATAAATTCTTACGATCTGCTTTATTTTTCAACAATTACGTCAACACGTGTACAATTTACGCTTGATTTGTTTTAGGTTTTAGTTTTTCGTCATTTATTGCATTCGGTGGGAGTTTGTTATGTGAAATTTCGGTGAAATTGTGGTTGATTTCGTTATGTGGAGACTGAGATGAGATTGTATTTTTGTTTTAGAGCTTAAATTTTGCTGGAAATTGGTTTTCAGCTTTGAAATTTTGCATTTTGGTATTCGGTAAATTATTATTGGGTTTTGTTAGAAGGAGATTGTCTTGTTGTTATGGTATGATTGTATGTAACACATTTGGAGGTTTGACATCTGAAGATATAGTTGTTTTGTATTGGAAATTGAAGCTGGATGGCACTTGGATTTGGATTTATCTTGAATTTTTGCTATTGCCGTAAGAAATTTGGTAATTAGTTGTTGAATGTAGCAATATCGTGATGGGGTTGCCTATGGAAAATCGTGGCTTTGTTGGCATCTCAATGGATTGCATGTTGGTTTACGGTCGGTTTTGTTTCTGACTTGTGAGTTGAAGAAGCTTAACATGGGTTAATTGGATGTGATTGAAGATTGATTAGATTAAAATATGAGTGTGTTGGTTCTTAATACATTCTTGGGTCCATCAAGTTTTGCTTTGTTTATCTTTCCATGCAAAAGATCTTGCAGTGAACTTTGTTTACTTTCGGTATACTGATATGGGAACAATATCTGGGTGTAATTGCTACCTGAGAAATGTATCTCTGGGAATAATTTTCCCTTTCAATATTTATTAACCTTAAAAGGAATATCATTTTGTATTAATGTTTTTTACAAGCATTGTTTTATAGTTATTCTTTGTATTGTTTGTTTTGAACAGTTATGTCCCTAATTAGGGAGCTATGTCCAACTTCATTTATTTCTTGTGACATTATCACCCTGGGAAAAACAAATACTGTACATAAAAATTAAATAATGATGTTTTTTCTGCTCTAACTTTAGGTTAAAGAATTATGTGAGAAGGCTAAGGAGATTTTAATGGATGAAAGTAATGTCCAGGTAGAGCCTTTTCTTCCTGCCTTATTTTTCAATGAGACCTTTTTCTGTTTCTCGAGATATTGATCTCACTTGCATCACTACTATTTAACAACTTGCTTTGCATGAAAAGTATTCCTTCATTAAACCTGAAATTAGTTGATTTTAAACTATCTTTATTGTTCTTATTTCTCTCCATATTGGGTTTATTGGACATGCTGTCACTGCTTTTAATGGCTAATTTTTGAAAGGACATACTTCCTTCAATCTTATATGATGCAATATAGCAGCTTGCCAATACCAATTACATTACAGCATTTCAATGCACCTTTTAGTTGCTTATTTTCTCAGGTTAGAGAAAGAAAACATTAATTGTTTTTTCTTTTGTATCTCCTTTACTACAGCCTGTGAAAAGCCCCGTGACAATTTGTGGCGATATTCATGGGCAGTTTCATGATCTTGCTGAACTATTTCGAATTGGAGGGAAGGTATAATTTCTGACTGTGAATTTCTTTTTGTAATCAATCTTCTGTTACAGTTGGGCAATGTATTATCGTAGCTAACTAATTGTGAGACCTGTCAAAGAAAAGCTTGAGGCTTAAAGTGCATCAGAGGTATTAAAGGAGTAATGCAGGAACTATCTAATTGACCTCACTATGACCCCAATATTCGGTTTGCAATTTTGCAAATTATAACATGATAAGACTATTATTTTTGCAAGTTCTTGGATGATATTTTTACCGATTAATTAGGTCTTAAATCTAAGTGTGTGTGCTTTGTTTACAGTGTCCAGATACCAACTACTTGTTTATGGGAGATTATGTGGACCGGGGTTATTATTCAGTTGAGACTGTAACAGTAAGTTCGACCAGGATTAACTTGTTTGATTTTTTTTTCACTTACTTTCCAACAGTTATTTTTAGCAAATTTGTTCTTTACTCTCTACGCGTCAAGCCTCTTTGGAGGTGAATTTGTGATATTCACGTACTAGGGAGACTAAAGATCAGGTGGAATATTGTTTTCAAATGGTAATTGGTTACTCTCTACGCGTCAAGCCTCTTTGGAGGTGAATTTGTGATGTTCATGTACTAGGGCGACTAAAGATCAGGTGGAATATTGTTTTCAAATGGTAATTGATGAAGTTTGGGTCAGTTGTGATGTGAGCTTCATTTATGTCATCTTTTGGTATGAGGATTAAGCTGAAAATGGAACTGTAACCACATGGCAGATAACTGCCTTGAAATTATTTTAACGTTGGCACATATAAGGGAGGGAATACCAGAATAGGTTTAGAATGTCCAGTAGGCTTTTCAATGTGTTAAGATTGCAAAGATGAAATGTGGATAACACGAGTATTGAAATCGTTCAGATATGTACATCATCTTACAATTATATTTTGACGTATGTCTGCATTAACTTTTTGACTTGTGGGCATTGTGGTGGACCATGGGCAATGGTTTTAAACAACCCATATTATGTTAAAATCTCAAACCTGCAATGGATATATATTAGTCAAATATTTGAGAACCGTTTCAAAACTGGTGTTTCAATTTTACATGTCATCATTGTTTTGAGGTTTGGAAAAATTATTTACTAAATATCAATCACCAGTGTAGTAAATTCTTTTCCATTTTTCAGAAAGATTCATCCACAGGGTTTACCTATTTCTCTAGGTTATCAATCACTTAGTAGTTTTCTGATGATTGTTTTAGATTACGTCTGGTGCCTTTTGAGGATGGATGTGGATTGATGGTGAAGCTACATTGCTGTTTATGTTTTTTGATAATGATATATCTGTTTCTTAATTTTCCCCTGATTAAATGTGTTATATTACCAGACTTACTAATTAGTTATTTTATTCAGCTCCTTGTGGCACTCAAAGTGCGGTATCCTCAGCGGATTACTATTCTTAGAGGAAACCATGAAAGCCGTCAGGTTCATATTTTCCCTCTTCACTCAAATTTAAGAGTTGCTTTGTCTCCTGAGGTCTTTTATGGCATTTATTTATAAACTTACATAGTAAACTCTTTAGACTTGAGTGACTTCAAATTTAGCTATTCTTGGATGCTTTTTAGTTGTTTTGTACATTGCTAAACATCACTGGCTTTGATTTGAATATTTGTATGTTTTTTTTTATAATTTATTGAACTTATTGTTTCTTTATCGTTTTTCTTTTATGCAGATTACTCAAGTATATGGATTTTACGATGAATGCCTAAGAAAGTAAGTTTTGAAGACCTTCCTATGGAGGTCCTATGGGACAAATCGTGAGATGCTTCTGTCCAAAGTAATATTTGTAGGCATATATAATGTCATAGTTTTCCAAATAAGCATCTGAATTGCGCTGTTGATTTGGTGTGCTATGTTATGTAGCTTTATGATTTGTGACTTGTTAGGCTCAGCTTTATGAGTTTGTTGTTTAGTTGATCATATAGATATTATCTTATTGGGGTGGTTTCTTGCATTTAAGTCATTTAATTTTTGTTCATATACATGATCCTAGTTGTTTTTTTGCAGGTATGGGAGTGCCAATGTCTGGAAGATCTTTACAGACCTCTTCGACTTTTTCCCATTGACTGCATTGGTTAGTACTTTTTGCCCCCTCTATGGATCTAATTTTATCAGTGATTTGAAGTGTTTGTTTGTACATATAAGTTATGATGTAAATTGAAAATTTGGAAGGTGGAGTGATTTTTTGGAATGAATCGTATTCTGTTCACAATATTAATTGTTAACATATATCTTTTTGTCTAAGCTGTTAAAAAATTTCCCGTGTACACTATTCTTATTTGCAACTTCTGCTTTTTCACCGACATATTATTTTACTCAATAATTTAATACCAATAGAATGCCAATATTGCTGCATATACTGTGTCTCATGACTTATCTGAGCAGTGTCTATTTTATAAATGATAAAACTAGCCTCTATTTCTTTTTGTTCAGTATTAAGATAAATTATTTCAACTTTCTAGATTGGGATGAATCCATGATAGACTGAAGATATTAAGTGGTTAGTTTTAACAAACGCATGTAGTTTGCTTAAACATGGATTATATTATACTTATAGATATGCACTATCATTAAGGTCTTTGTCCGTGTTTGAAACGAGTGTTTGTTGTCACTAGCTCAAATGAAAAAACTGTCTTGATCAAGCTTTTTGATGTTAAATTGATTGAACAACTTTCATCAAATTGACATAAATAAATTAGAAATTGTTCATTTTTGATACAAACTTTTGATCACCGGCTTCTAATTTAATATGCCCCTTTCCAGGTTGAATCAGAAATATTTTGTTTGCATGGTGGACTGTCGCCTTCGATTGAGACCCTTGATAACATAAGGAACTTTGACCGTGTTCAAGAAGTTCCTCATGAAGGGCCTATGTGTGATCTACTGTGGTCTGACCCAGATGACAGATGTGGTTGGGGAATTTCTCCTCGTGGTGCTGGATACACCTTTGGCCAGGTAAACACGGCTTTAGTCTCTCAACTCTGCAGATTATTATTATTATTATTATTATTATTATTATTATTATTATTATTATTATTATTATTATTATTATTATTATTATTATTATTATTATTATTATTATTGTTTTGATGAAGCATCGAGTATTTTAATTATAACTTCAATTCCAATTCACATTCTTTCAGGATATATCTGAACAATTCAATCATACGAACAGCCTTAAGTTGATTGCTAGAGCTCACCAGCTTGTTATGGATGGATTTAATTGGGCTCATGTAATTGTCCTTCTCATGGAATGACCATATCTTTCATTTGCTCTCTATAGTTATAGGAATAAAATTTGAGACACGGGCATTGTTTTGTTGAAACAGGAACAAAAGGTGGTTACCATTTTCAGTGCTCCTAACTACTGTTACCGATGTGGCAACATGGCTTCCATATTGGAGGTTGATGATTGCAAGGGCCACACATTTATCCAGGTCTGTTTCTCCTTATTCAACATAATTTCCACATATTGTTTAGTTCCATCTCTTGGATTGTCTGTACACAAATTTGAACTTCTTTCAGTTTGAACCTGCTCCAAGGAGAGGAGAACCTGATGTGACTCGAAGAACGCCTGATTACTTCCTGTAGTGTAGCTGCTTTTGAATGTCATACTGGCATATCGTGGTTACTCTACTTTCAGTCTAATGTCAGGTAGTTGTGGATCCTCATTGGTGAGATTGCCGTAGGCATTTATATCCATTGATATTTTGGTTGTCCAGAGGCTGCTATGATGTAAAATAGGCAGGTAATATTCCACCAATCAGTTACGCTGAAGAATTTGCTGGACACCTTATCTGGAAGAAGTTGTCGCGATAATGACTCTACAAGGATGTATTAATCCAGCAAAATGTGGATATTTTTGTATGTTTTCCATGTCATTTTTTTTAAATCATGTTCTATATCCTCCCTTTCCAGGCTTTAGGTCCTACACGATTGGATTTTTTATCTCGTGGATGCTTTGATATTTTATCTCAATTTAGTAAAAGTTTCATGGTAATATTGTTCAATTTGGTTATTAGTACTTGTCTAAAGCTAGTCATCATACTTCGCGGCATTCATAGTGTGTTCAATTTGCAAATGCACGATGCTTGACGTCTACTGGTTATCTCGTTCAAGATGGACTTTTATACCCCTTGAACCAGCTAATTTGCATTCATATGAGTTTTGGACCCTTAAACGGCAATTAGTCTTGTTGCTTACACATGTTTTAACTTATTTTGCATATCTATCATAAAAAAGAATTAAAATTAGATTTCTTCAACAAGTTCTGAGTCAATGTTTGTATTTTTTATTATCAACTGAAAGTGTTGTCACATTTGATTTTGAACCTTGCTTGAAGTTGGATTACCTTTTGTGGAAACAAATTGATGGGATATAATACACATCCATCCTTTGTTTCTACCCTAGTTGAATAAAAAATTTACTTGGGTGGAGAATATAAGTATGCAAATTTTAACTTAAACATGGGGTAAACATGGGATGATAGAAGGATTCGTCCTATCAAAGGCTATTGTGTTGCTTATTTTGTATCGCAGATGCATTTATTGTGTGTTGCTTATTTTGTGTTGTAGATGGATTATGTTAACATCTTAATTGAATTCTGACCGAGATGAAATTTCACTGGGTTGCATTGATCTATTGTTCTTGTATGATACATTATAATGACCCCGCTGTACAAAAATTTAATATAATAACAAAAATATGAAAGTCACAGGTTCATGTATGAAAAAATGGATGGCACTAAGTCGACCACGGACCATGCAAGACCTGCATATTGTAGAAATCTAATTCCAGTATCAACATCGAAAGCCTTTGACTTTTCTCCTGTCTTAGCTCCATTCAACGTGGGGATATAAGTGGTTGATTTTATTGGGATGCCCAATGTGTTTGCTACCACGGGGATAGTCCATTTTGCAAGAGTTTTGCTGCAGAATTTCACAATTAGAATTGTAGGTATTCCCACGAGCATTCTTCCCATGAATGCGGGTATTGCCAGTTCAGAGAATAATTGAGGAACCGCATCATGGTGAAATTGATGGTATGTTTGCTGTACCCCAGACACCTAGGAGGACGAGCACGAGCACTTGAATTAATACTTATTATACAGCACGAGTTACAAAAATGCTAAGGAAAAATATAAGATTGAATGTTTAGAATAGTATCATGTTTAAAATAAGTCTCTCTGTATCACATTAATAAAGTAACAAAAATGAAAAATATTTGGAGGGGGATCAATTGAAGGGTTTGTTTTCCACCGATTAAAGTGAATACGAATTTTATTACGCATCCATGGATTTGGATCCTCTAATTTTATTCCCTCCTTTTCTTCCTCTAGTTGGGATCTCATACCAACAATTTTGTTAAATCCTACCTACAAAAACAAAATATGCCTATTTCTCTAAGGAAAAAAGGATTCAATTCCTTTTGCACTGGAACTAGGACTTTAATACTAAAAGTGGGAAAGTTTCATCTTTCTCACACAGAGAATCTTGACCACATAAGATACTACTGCTATTCAGGATGACAGTGATTGATGTAACATAAAAGCTATTTTTGGTGGAGTGACTTGACAGGCTTGCCGCTGTGAATCGACAAACAACCAGAGATTAATTCAAGAGGAAAATGATTGAACCAAAATAGATCCGCTTCTTATCACTTTGCAAAGTAAAGCTACAAGTGATATGCCAAGGGACTGAAGATATTTTAAAAAATTCATGAAGATACTAGTAACTAGTCAATTACAAACTGCAATGGTGCACCCGACCAAAACTTTACTCGCAATGCCATAAATTTGAATATATTGTAGCTGCCACTTTAGGAATTACTTGACTACTACACTCATGGGATTAGTAAAGTGAATAATGTCTGCCGTTTGTTAACAAATCAATAGTTGGTATTATATCATATGCATAATAAAAGAACGGGTAGTCACAATATCAACTCCTGATTTTCTCACTTTATTAACTCCTCACTTTAGAGGAGTCAAATCCGTTAAAGGCACCCCCAAGAAAATGTGAGAGATACAAGAAAGAGTATTTGCATTCCTGTCCCTTTCCTAATGATCTTCTCAAAGTACTAGATTATTCCGTATGCTCTAGCATGAATTGTTTGGTTTACATTAGAGGACTTCCAAAACAATTCCTAAGGAGTGTTTGGTTCTATTTCTAATCATTATTCCCAAAATTACTGCATTACAAACTTACAACGATATGGACTGTGTTTAGCTACATTTTAAGTGTTATCACACTAGCGCAGCGTGGAAAATAGAAACACCAAAAATCTGCTATGTGAGAAATAGCAGTTAGCATTGTGAGCAAATCGCAGAAGCCAGGTTGAATAAAGGCACTTATTATAAATAAAGGCACTCACTACGAAGCAGAGCATAGATTACATATCGATACGTTTATATAAAACTTACCAACTCTTCAGTTTTTCTATTATAAAAATAGGTTATTTTGAAACACACGCAGATTCTCCAGTTAAATTTTTTTGACAGTCCAGTTTTAATATTTTTGAAAACTGTAAAAATAAAATTCGTCATCGTCACAACATCAGCTAGCAGAAACTTGATTAGCAGCCTCTATTGCTCTAATAGAAAAACTAAAATAGAGTTGTTGTTTGCATTGACGTCAGACATTTGACGTTTTCACTTTACAGTTGCGCTGCAGGTTTCTACATTCAACAATTAACCTCAAACTTGACTGTTTAGAACTAGTAAGGTGGAGCAGACAATGCTTAAAGTAGTGTATGTTTTCTTTTTGTCTATGACTCCACTCCAGTGCTACATTATAAAAATTTGTTTTCACTTATATCATGTATCTAACCCTATCCGAAGAAGAGATTAATAGATTATATACACTAGAGTATATATTCATTCATAATAAAAGAAGAAAGATGGAATACATTTAGATGACATTAAAGGATGAGAAACTACTTACAATTCCCAATGCAACACCATTGAAAGCAGTGTGAAACTCAAAACTTGGAGTTGGAAATTCAGGGGTTGGATAAGCAAAAAGCAAGAGGAAGCTCAAAGCAGCCCAAAAAGTTGTAACTGCAAAAAAAAAAAAAAAACAGATTAAGACAAGCTATTTCAAAAAGTGCTTTTGTAAGAAAAGATGCTTAAGAAAAAAAATTGAAACACTTGAGATATAGTTACAAGTTTAATCCAATTCAATTTTTACATTCTACAATATGAGCACGAGCCACCAGCATGTATTGAATGAATCAATTAGAAGAATACCATTTTGTCCCGAGACAACAAAACTGTCTATGTACTCATCAACTGTAAGCCAAAGTCCAAGGATTCCGAGTCCAATAAAAAGGCCAGCAACAACATCAATCAAACTGTGCATACCAAGATAAAGTCTTCCTACAAAAAATAACAAACAATTATCATTGTTCTGCCACATGATAGACCAAAAGTAGGAACGCACTAATAGATTAAAAGTAATGAAAAAAGCCTACCCAATCCAACGAGGGCCACGAACAAGCAAGCAAGGGATACTCCAAAATAGTTAACATAGGCACCTTGAATTTGAGCATGAGTCAGGACATAGTGCAAAAGGTAGCTGATAAACATCCATTCCAAGCAAAAACATTCATTATTGACAAAACATAGAGAATCAAAAGCAGTGTTTCATATTTCACATTACATAATCTGACTTCAATAAACTAAACACTTCTAAGCAATTTAAGCCGACAAAAGAAGAAAAATGGTCATATATGATTGCAAATGCAATACCATGTTTTTACTTGTTAAGTTATTTTCTATTCCACTTAGTTAGCCCAGAAAGTAGATAAGAAAGATGAAGCTAAACCATGTGACTTGAACTGTAAGGCATGCATATCACCTACTCAATTCTTTGGTCAGAGTACATAACTAACATCTCACGCATCCTTAAGAACATGACTCAAAACTCCCAAACTCTAAATCTAAAAAAACGAAATGCCTAGGCTTAGGTGCACGGAAGCTTTCCAATTAACACAAACAACGCAGTTCTTTACTCGAGTGAAAAAAAAAATCAAATAACAAAAGGAATAACAAATTACCCTGATAAGCAAACAGTGTTGAGTGTGTGAGAAGAAGGAAGACCATATTCTAAAGCATTCTCTTCCTCATCTTTTGTAGAAGTTACCCTCCTCACAGGAGGAGAAGCCGGTCTTGGTGCCGAAACAACATCCTATAGTTTGACAAAACAACAAACACCTTGAGACCACAATCATCAAACACAACATATAACTAAATTAAGGGTTGAATTGAATCAAATTTTGATTTCAATGAACATAAACATAAACATACCTTTATGCAGTTCCCTATATAATCACAAAACGCCATCAACAACGTCATCTGCCTAGCCAATTGACCATGACCACTCTACAAAGAAGCCAAATTCCGATAAATTTACAGTTTTTCAAACAAAATAAATAAATTCTACCATATAAAAAAAAACGTACCCAGAATAACAAAGGGAGAAAAGCGGTGTAAAACGGCACCGAAACAACACAAGACAAGGCAGAAAAAAAAGCATCAAAGAATCCAGCTGTGTAACTCTGCATCACCGAACAATTCAAATAAAAATCAGCATTCACAACAAAAACAAAGAAAAAGTAATAAATTTCCAGGATTTTCCCTCTTTTATTACCTGGATCTGGAGGAGAATTGGGATTCCGGTTTGAACATAGTGAGTAACGAAAGGTTGAAGGAAAGATCTAAGCTTGAGAGTGAGATTAAGGTACGAAGAAGAAAGAATCCAGAAGAGTATTCCAGCGAGAACCGCACCTTGCCATAGTGCTGAACCTTCCATTTTTCTCTCCTCTCTCTGTAAAAGTAGCAGAAGAGCGAGAAAAAAAGAAACGTTGGAAGGAACAGAAATAGTAAGAAGCCGAATGAAAATGAATCTAAATTAGATTATGAAAGAATTTACAAGAAGAAGCGCTAGTTGCATTTATTCAACTTTATTATTCAAATTGATTTTGTGAGAAATTTTTGGTGTTTTTGGAGAAGGAGAAAAGTGGGGATTTTTTGAGCCATTAGTTAATTATATTCGGTTCGTTGAATTCAATGACAGGTTTAGGGGTGTGCTATGCTGTGGTGTGTAATGCATTAGTACTTTACTAAAATTAAAATGGGTGTGCTGGAATTTTATGACAGGATGATACATGTGTATATAGTGATGTAAAAATGGGATTGAAAGTGATTGGGTTTAAAAAGGGAAGTGGAAGATTTGTTAAAAAAATTAAAAGGAGTGTTAAAGGGAAAAATAGTTATTTTCTTAAGAAAAAAGGGAGAGAAAATTATGTTTTTGCAAAATAATATAACCTCTATAATTCAAAATGTATTGTAGAAGATTTTTGAACGCGGATATAAATTTTTAGTTTTTTTGGTCAAGAATTTCAAATGTTAAAAGTAAATAAATGGATTTTGCGGGTTTGAATTTTGACTTCATGGTTTTAAATATGAATTTTGAGTTTTTTTTAAAATAATCTGACACGATATAATATTTTTAATGTTTTTTATTTGGTTTTATTTGATTTAAAAAATATATTACGAGTAATTTTTTTTTGTATATTTAGTTTATAAAAATTTATGAAATTTAAAATTTCATGGGATTTTCTTTTTATGTTTATAGGATTAATTGAGATCTTTTTTGCAATTAGATACAAATTTAGAAGCACACTTTTATGGTAACTTGATTTGTTTTTATATAATTAAATTAAATTTGAATTATTAATACATTTATAGTATTGTAGATGTAACATATGTGTATAATAATTTTAATGTAGTAAATGTGAACTAGTGTAGGAATCAAGTTTACAAGTAGATTCCATATAAATAAAATAAGGAGATCTCTAAAATAAATTGATGTAAAGAGTTGTATTCGGCTACCACTTGAGAGAAATGAGAGAATACAACAAAAAAGAGTTTTTTAATATACTCTTTGATATTCTTAGGCACTTAGCAAAATTTTTTTTATGTTCTCTGTTTTTGAAGATATACATCCGAATACATTTTTTTTTCTTTACACTGGATGCTTCCGGAGATACATCTACGAAAAAAGTTCTGGAGATACAACTATGAAATCTTATTAGAACAGGTTTTTTTATAAAAAAAACATATTTTGTTGGTCGCAGATGAAAATTAACTGTTGCATATTAATATAAAATGACATACATTCGTGTGTGTGTGTGTATATATATATATATATATATATATATATATATATATATATATATATATATATATATATATATATATATATATATATATATATATATATATATATATATATATATATATATATATATATATATATATATATATATATATATATATATATATATATATATATATATATATATATATATATATATATATATATATATATATATATATATATATATATATATATATATATATATATATATATATATATATAAGAAGTAATATGGTACATCAATGTCATCAAAAATATAGCACATAAAATAAACATAACAGTCACTACTGTGTGTGCCTCTCCCGCCTCCTTAACTGCCCAGTCTGCGTCTTCGGTCGTCGATCCCACCCGTCCTGGCGCGATGCTTTCAGTACATAAGTGCCTCTGCTGTCACCACAATGATGTCATCCATTACACACCCGTGGTCAGACCCTTCAGGGAAGAAACCGACAACAATGTCTGCCCGCCCCATCTCCACTATCTCACGACAGCGAAGCAGGACATCCTGAGTGTGGTCTAACTGAAACTACTGCTCATCTAAGATCTCCTGATGAGCTGATCTGAGTGGTGATCCCTCGACAGTGGGCACCATGTAGGGGTGTGATACGGTGAACAACCACATGATGTAGTCATCAATGCAACTTTAGTCTCTCGGTGCTCTGGTCGCCCGAGCCTCGTCAGGTACCAAGTGCCTCTAGTAGTCGGCATAGATCTCGTCTATCTGCATACGAGTCAAGTCGAGAGGAGCGGAGACAGGTGGGTATCTGAGAATGGTCTGAGTGTAGGCGAACTATCGCATGACGCGCTCGGACAAATATGGAACAATGATGATCGAACTGCATGCCAACCATCCTGAGAATAGGGAGATGTCGTCAAACAGGTGCGTCACACGGTGATCAACATCGACATCGTACCAGGTGTTCTCAGTAGCCAGGCGATCGAGACAGACTCTATAAGGGCCGACCGCCTAGTTCCCCCTGAGCGGAAGAAAGGCACGGGAACACGACATCTGCTCTGTGTAATTAGGTACACTCCTCCACTCAACAATCATGGGAAAGTGCTGGAATATCCAAGCCTAAAATGAAAATAAAAAACATCAAGTTCAAGCATTATCTCACATATAGAATGAAAAGAAATGAAAAAATGCGAAGGATATAAGATTATTACCACGAGTAGTGTCACGCTCCCTGCCACAGTCCTGGTCTTCCACAGGCATCTCTCTCCCAACCTCGAATACGTGTAAGCCAGGGTAGCCGCCTCCCAGTTGTACTCATGGACCCGTATGGAATCTAAAAAGTACCTTGGGTAAGCGACATTCGTTTATTTGATTTAGAAAATATATTAATATTTTTGCATATTTAATTTTTAAAATTTTAAAATTTTATGGGATTTTCTATTTGTGTTTATATGATTAATTACGATCATTTTTGCAATTAGATACAAATTTACAAGCATACTTTTATGGTAATTTAATTTTTTTTTATATAATTAAATAAAAATTTGAATTAGTTAATACATTTATAGAAATGTAGAAGGACATATGTTATGTATGTGTATAATAATTTTAATATAGTAAATGCGAACGAGTGTGTGAATCAAGTTTACAAGTAGATTTCATCTAAATAAAATAAATTGATTTAAAGAGTTGTATTCGGCTACCACTTGAAAGAAATGAGAGAATACAAGATATTGGTATTCAAATCTCCGAAAATTTTGTCTTTTTTTTTTATTGTAATCGAATCTTGAACCCATATACAAATATAAAATTAAATGCAAACATACTATTAAGTCATATAGCACATAAAAGACATATAAGAATAGAAAAATAGATCATCCACCTTGTTTTGATGAAAAATGGATGGATTTCTTTAAGATCATCATATCAAGCATTATGTACTAAATGAATTTTTATACCTCATGTAGAAGCATGCTTCATCTCAAGGTTTCAAGGTTTTGATGACAACAACAACAAGACTCAAGATCATTTCATCTGTGCAAAAAGTCAAAAGCTTTCAAAAGACCAAGATCAAAGTATTATGGAAGTGATCAACATTCAAGCTTCATGTACATTTGCTCGATCATCTTTCAAGACTTGGACACAAGTTATGGTATATCAAATTCTCTAATTTAATTGATATACAAGTGTTCAATACTATAAACTATTTTTGCATAATGCATTAACATGTTTTAAAATCATTTGGAATTGGTATAACACTTTTAAATTAATTATTTTTCAAAGTTTTTACAGTGTTAACCGATTAACCATATAGGTTAATCGATTAACGCCCTAAAATTTTAAATTCTTTGGGCCAACTTTACAGTGTTAACCGATTAACCTATATGGTTAACCGATTAACACTGAACGTTTTCTGAAAAATTGTTTCATTTCAAGTTCAAAAATTATTTGAATGTTATACCTTTCCATGTGTTAACTCATACTCATACATACCCTTTTGAAATGGTGTTTTGGATGATATAAATTCTGATAATTTCAAATTAACAAACACCTCCAACAATTTTCAAAAACAATCATTGAATCATATTCACTACTTTTCAAATAATTTCAAATACATTCAAAAGTGTTCATACTTGCATAATCTTTCACATCCATTTGTTTGAACACTTGTATTGAGATTAAGTTGTGAATTCTGATTAAAGGAGAAGATCAATCTTTGTATTGATATTACTATTGTACTCTCAAATTACAAAAAGAATTACAGAATAGTCTGTTGTGACTTGTGATCCAGGATTGTTGGACACAAGGGTTAGTGTTTTGCAAGAGGATTGTTCTTGCACACTAGTTTGTTTTGTTGTTAGATTGTAGGCCTCACCGGTTGATGGTGTGATAGGTTGTACTTTCTAAAACAATAGTTAAAACTCTCTTTCATGTGGAAAGGGGAGTGGAGTACCTTCGGATTGTGAAGGGAACCACTATAAATCTTGGTGTCCACTTTATTTATGCTTTTTACTGCATCCATCACCAAGAACATAACCAAAGAAAAATTAAAGAACACCAAAAATACGAAAAAGTTTCCATAAGCCTAATTCACCCCCCCCCTCCCCCCCCCCCCCCCCCCCCCCCTCTTAGGCATACTCTGAACTTACACCTCAAATTTTATTTTCATTTAAGATTCTCAATTCTCTTTTTATTTTAAAGAAGGTTTTCTTAGTCAAAGGTTTTGTAAAAATGCCGACAAATTGATTATGACTATCAACAAATGTGATTCCAATATATTCTTTAAAAAATGATATCTTAGAAAATGATGTATGATATATATGTGTGTTTTGTTTATGAATGTATAACTGACTTTTTAGTTAAATTTATGACACTTGTGTTGTCACACCTTAGAAGAATGCACCCTAGATTTAAACCATAATCACATAATTGTTGTTTTAACCAAAGTACATGCGCACACCAACTTTCAACAATGATATATTATGTCTTTGCAGTACTTAGGGCAACATGTAAGTTCTGTGTCTTTTGATTAGCTGCATTTTGGTATAACAACATACTGTTAACAAGATGTTGAACCTGTTGTTCTTGCTAATGTTAGATTAATTATTTAATTAATAAAATATGAATTGACATA